TGCGTTTATATTCCAAGAAAGCGACTTCATTCATGCTCTCGCGCTCTTTTTTCCAGTAATTTTGGTTATCCCGCAACTCAAAGATTCAGATGAGAAAGAAAAGCAGATTGATGCATATTCCCAAAGAGAAGCTAAAAAATGGCTTACGAAATATGTTAAAGCCTTGAATTGATTAGCTGTGCTATTATATTGTTAAGTATTCTTAGCTAAGATCGCCACAATCTACTAAGATACATATACATTATTAATAATATTTTTCGTATATAAATAACTCCCAACTTCAAATAGATTCACCAATAACTATAGTCATAGTCCCTCGATGCTTGTAGTGTATCGCGACATCTCTCACAAATCATCCAAGGATATTCGAGATTTAAAGACGCCGATTGGTTATAGTTTTTTTTTCCATGGGCATTTACCCGATAACGAGGGTAGCGTCTCATCAAATCTCCTATACTTACATTCTCGTCCTTTGCCACATAGGCTTTATGGATACCATCTACCATAATTTTTATCGCATTCTTATCATACGTATTAGAAGGCTCCGGTTCAAGAGTGATGGTATCTGATTTCTTAAACTTATGACCACCGCGAAATCTCATCCCTACTACCATAAAGGAATGTGTAACAATACAATCTGTATATAATGGCGACGATGGTTCCTTACAACTACAACAAATATTAGGCATGATTAAAAACTATTATATTTTCTATACATAAAAAATACCCAAGTTCAAATAGATAGTCTTATTATCCAGCCCACACATCCTGCATCTGCTCACTTTTCCTCTTCAATCCCCATGTACGTCTCAATACCACGAACCACATAACCGCGATAATCAACAAAATAAGAAAAATATATGCTGATAGCGGTGACATCAAAGTTCTTGCCACAGCAGGGATTGCTTCTATTCCTCCCACCGAAATCTGAGGATGCGATTCGATCAAAGAGGAGGTATGATTTTCCGGCTGTACAAGTATATTGTTATTAGTTTTACTAATATCGATTTCATCACTTACCTTGGAAATAATCTCAGTATCTACACTTGGAGATGAGCCTCGAATTACTGGTTCCTCAGGTATAGAGGTACTTTTATCATCAGTGTGGTCCGGTATAATAGTATCAAATTTTCCAGCTTGATCCATATTTTTTCTGCGTACAAAATATTGACTGAGATTTTTGATAGGTTCACTAATTGCAGATATATCGTCAGACTTGGTTATGGAACTTTGTTCATTGCTCTGCGTATTTTTTTCATTATCTCCACCAACTGTGGGTTCTGATATATCCTCCGATTTTAGATGTTCAAGCTCACTAACTTTTAAGGATAATTCATCTTTCATGCGCTCCAATTCAGTTATTTTGGACTTGAGAGAATCGATCCCGGAAGCTTT